CGGCGCGATGACATGGGAAACCCTTATGTTACAAAGACACGTTTTAACAAACCTAAGATGCAAAGTGGCTTATTTTATTTTAGTTTGTTTGCTCAATTATTTATTTATTTATTTTAGGTGCTGCTGATATGGTATTTTTTTTAGACTATTTTAAATTATTTATGTATTTTAATGGAATTTATTGTGGTGACATTGGTTAATAAAATGACACAGGTTTCAGGTGTACGGTTCTGTAACACATCAACGGCATATTGTACGGTGTGTCCACCGCCCCGTCTCCTTTCATCTCCATTTATCCCCTGTTACCCTCTTCTACCTCCCAAAGGCCCCGTTCCCTCTGGTAATCACCATACCGTTGTCTGTGTCTATGAATTCTTTTTTTTTTTGCACAATCCCTTCACCTTTCTCACCCATCCCCCACCCTTCCCCTCTGACGGCTGTGAATCTGTTCTCCGTATCTATGAGCCTCTTTCTATTACAAATTGGCTTGTTTTCTTCGGGACCTACCCAGGCAATGTGGTCAGCCCCAGGTAGTATCTTTCTGTGGATGTGAGTCTCAGGAAAGAAGGAGACTAGAAAACTTCTACCCTTTTCGCCACCCAATATTAAAGGAGTCTCTTCTCTTCCTGAATGTGGGTGATCTCAGTAATGATGGCTCATTATTCTGAGGATTCCTTTATTTCCCCCATCCCCACCCTCTGCTTTTGTGAAGCCGGGTAGGGGGTGACCACAGCAGGGCCAGTTCAGCCCTAACTGGTATGTCCTGGAGCCGACGCGTAGTTTCATTTTCTGGTGGTTACCTTGGCACCAAAAAGAGTGTGGTGTCTTCGGCCTTAGATTTGGGCAAGAGCTGTTTATAGGACAACGGGAAATACACAAGTCAGCATTTTTGTAAAAATAATTACGGAAGGTGGGAGACTAAGGGTTTCTAATCTAGGGAGCATAGGAGAAGAAATGTTCATCATGCCCTGGCTGGTGTGGCTCAGTGGATTGAGTGCTGGCCTGTGAATCAAAGGGTTACCAGTATGATTCCCAGTCAGGGCACATGCCTGGGTTCCAGGCCAGGTCCCCAGTGGGGGGTGCTTGAGAGGCACCCACACATTGATGTTTCTCTCCCTCCCTTTCTCCCTCCCTTCCCCTCTCTCTATAAATAAATAAATAAAATCTTTTTTAAAAAATAAATTACTTAGAAGAAAATATTTTTTTAAAAAAAGAAAAATAAATGTTCATCACATACAATGTGTTAGTGCCGTTCACCCAACAAGGGAAAAAGTCCTCAGGAAAACACATAATGGAATAGATTTTTTTTTTTCTGACCAGCATCTATTCTACTTCCTTCCCAGTGCCAGAAACCCACAGTTCTTTGAGGAGTCACTCTTCCTCATAATCCTCAGACTTTAAGTTTATGTGAAATTCATCCAACCCACATTCCAGGAATGTGCCCTGATTCGCCTAAGCCAATCAGTGAAACCCATCCCCATAGCCACAGTGATTGGTTAGGAATTGGTAGGAATTGGGATTCTGACCTTAAGTCAGTCAAATCCAAGAGAAACTAGTGATTGTTTTTTTCCAGTGAAGATCCAACCTCTCTGTTCTCTGAAAAAGAGAAAGAAAAGAAAAAGAGGAAGGATTCATGTAACACTATGAGGTACCTGGGACTCCCACACAGAAGGATCAGAAAGAGAAGAACAATAGCATCCGAGGTTCTGCCTGAAGCCAGAGGCCCCCTGTACCCCTCAGTCTTGAAGCCACAGGATTTATTATTTGAGCTTCTTAGAGCTGGGCCTGTTTGCTTGTTTGTTTTTCTCCTTGAAACTACCCAGGTTCTGAGAAGCATCTCCTGTGTGGAGATGCAGCATCTGTTGGAAGTCATGGCCCCGGCTGAAGTGTGCGATTGGTTGTACTAGAAAAGCCGGAGGGAATTTGGCAAACACCTTGTTAAATAAGAGCGGTTTTTAAATTTTGTCGTGCATGGGAATTACCCAGAGGTTTGTTAAAACACAGGTCGCTGTGCTCCGCCTTCTGAAGCGGAGGGAGCGCTTGGAATTTGCATTCCCAACGAGCTCCCGGCGTAGCCCCAGCCGTGCTCTGGCACTGCCCCTGGGAACCGCTCTTACCTGGCTTCGCTGCTGTGGTCTGCCGTCCGTCCGGCTGGTGCTAAGGTCCTGTGCCACATATGAAGGCTGCAGCGTTAAGGAATTTGATACGTAAGATCCCACATATTGGAACATCATAGCTACGTCTTGCATCCATCAGTAAGGTCCTGTAAGAAAGAATTTAGGCTACTTTGAAATGGGCTCATTTCAAAAAATGACAAGGCAGCTTTGCTAAGAGATGCCTTTCCAACCTGTCGACTTTCACCAGTAACATGGAGCCTAGAAGGGCCGTGCTTGCAGACATCTCTCTCCAGGCTGAGGCCAGTGTGAGCAGAGGCAGGGACGCAGGAGACCTAACAGGAGAAAAAGCTGGCGTCCAGCTGTGGCCCTAACTCCTCCTCCCCACCTTCTCCTATGAAATGTTTGTCTTACTGAAACTGGGCAACCAGCTCCTTGTGAAGGTGCGTAAGTACCTATGCTAGGCGTCAAATATCTATCACTTCTGCACATTGCGCCACCTCCGCAGGGGCCAAGATGGAGGTCGAGGCCTCTCACCAGGGGGCCAGGAGGTAGGACCTTAGGGGTGGCTGTATCATTGGGCCCGCGCTGGGAAGCACACATTCCCAGGCCCAGTTAAAAGGCAAGGTATGCAACTGAACAGGCTCTCCACTTCTGGTTATTCAGCCCATAGAATTGATCAGAAGTAAAGGGATCAGAATCCTGCTATCATCAGAAGGGTGTTGCATTGCCCAAGAAACCCCAGGACCAGCTACAAATGGCCACGGATTACTCAATACCTAAGGCAAAGCCCAGGCTCCTAACTCGCATGAACAGAAGGTAAGCACCCCCAGAAAAGGGTCTTCCCCAGCACATGCATGTGTCCACAGAGGACATTCCCCAGGGAGGTCAGCCAGGGGGCTGACCAAGGATCTCAGTCACATCTAGGCTCTGAAAGGCCCTATGGACAGATCAACGATGCAGCCCCCACAGCCCCTTTTACGGCACGGGGGTCCTAGTTCTATGACTCTGCTCACACCTGTGTTTAGGGAATGTTGAGCTAGTTAAGCTTCTTCCTTGACTTTGGGTTGTCGCACCTCTAGAAGCAGTTCAGTGTAAGCGCGCAGGCTCTGTGCGTCCCGCGATGCTGGAGGCTAGCGAAGAGGGACCAGGCACACCCCCGCTGCTTCCCCGGAGACAAGGTCCGTTCCTCCCACTTTCCTGAGTGAGTGCCTGCACACTTCTCACAGGCGTGGGTGGCCGTGTCGTTAGGGGACGGGGCCCTCGTCCCTGAAGGGGGTTGTGCAGTGTTGCCCGGCAGGCGTGTGTGGGAGTGTGTGTGTGTGATATGAAAGCTGTGGGCAAATGGACTTCTTTGTTGCATTGCCCTCATGATACAATTGTACTCCAAAACGTTTCATCATTACAATTCTAAACTAATTTTGGGTATAAAAGTTAGAGTATTTTAAACAAAATGAAATAATCATGGCTTATAAAAGTGAATACTTTTTGAGTTTCTCGCAACTCTTTTGAACTTCTTCTTTAGCAAAAAGGACCCTAGCTCAGTGTGCATTTCTTATCGTTGTAACTATAACCTAGACAATCCATCTGTTACACAGCTCAGCTTCCTCAGGAAACCTACAAACAGAGTCCTGCTTGTAGGCGGAACTCACACGCAGGCGGCTACCCTTCCCTGTAACATTAGCCGGGCATTTTGCGGTGCGTGGGTTCACCGGAAGCAGACAACAGGACCACACGGCAGGTACGCGCCGCCTTTGGAAAAGCGGTGAATCCTGTGTGACTATTTCAGTGGCTCTTAGCTGTTACTGTGCATGTGGAAATCCTGATACACTTGCTAGAAATATCAGTTTTCAGGTCCACATCTAAAAATTCGGATATGAGTGGTTTAAACAGTCATTGCTTGTGATTTGAGTACAGGTGGATTGCATTTTGGGAAATAACTTGGCTGCTGGTTAAGAAGATAACCTGTGGTTGTATCAGAGTCTAGTTCGGGGACCCACTTGTACCATTTGCTGTGTGACCTTGGCCAAGTTGCTTAACCTCTCTGAGCCCCAGCCCCAGTTGACTCTTCTGTCAAATGAGGCTATTAATAGTCCCAAAGCTCTACCACCTCCTTGTGAGGACCAAGGAGACACTGCAGAAAACACACTTGGTCTAGACTAAGTCTCAAAGATGTTAGTAATTGTTCTTTAAAAAGCATGATTTATATAAATATGTACTTACAAATGCCCTGCTTAATGGTATCCATTCGAGTAGTGAATTCTCCTAGAGCACATATATTATAATTCGATTTATAAGCTTCATAATTTCAACGTGCCGGAGGCACAGTTCCGGCGCACAGCAGAGCGTCTCTATGATAGCCCCCCTTCCTCCTCTCCTGGTTCCCCGCCATGTCGCATCTTCCTACCCTTTGCTGTTGTTCCTTTCAACCAGTGGCTCTGATCTGCCAGATAAACAAAAGCAAACTCATTACCAGTTTACTTTTTAAAAGAGCATCTTTATTATTTCTCCAGGCTGAACACAGAACCAAACAGAAACGTTTCATGCTCTGGGCCACCTCCGCCCAGAACGAACGGATGACCATCACTCAATTGTTGCCGATCATAGTGCAAGCGAAGGAGAGGGGAGGGTGGTGACGAATGTGTCCTGAGATCTCTTGGAGCAAACAGTCCCCAACACAGTGTGACATTGAAAATAGATTACGACAATTAAATAGTATAAATAAGTTGAAAGTTAAGTTAGGAAGGGTCCCAGAGTGTGGGTGTTTGGCAACAACCAGCCCACAGGAGAGGTAGCTGTGCAGGTCACGGGGTGTTTCCGAGGCTCGGGCCCCTGCTTCCTGTTGGCCCACCGAGGTCACTGGGCTCCTCAAAGCTTCCAGGCCACTCAGGCATTCAGCTCCAGGTCAGTGATGTACTCCTGGACCCAGGTCTGACTGGGGTCGGCACAGACCTGCCGGCTTCTTTTGGTGAGGAAGCTGTGGAGAGGAGGGGGAGGGTTACACGCCGAGCCATCCGGCAGGGGCGGCCCGGGGTCCCCCGTGGCCCTGGCACCCACGCTCTGTCCTGGCAGCTCAGGGCCTGCTCCCTCTCTCAGGCCAGGGAGCTGCTCTCACCGACTCAGGGAGCCCCTCCGAGGACCCTGCTACCGCCTCCCTCTCCCCCTCCCTTCCCTCTGGCTGAACCAGCCCCCACCCTGACTCCGCAAGCCTCTGGCCAGGTCGGGCCACACCTCGGAGACTGGGTCGTGCATAGCTGATAGGACGTCCTGGAGGACAGGGCCTTCCCAGGATGGCCCCCTGGCCTGCCTGTGCCCCCACCCCACACCCTCTCCATCTCCCCAGGCTGGCACTTACATGACACCGGGCTGGGAGCACTGGCTGCTGGTCTCAAAATAGTCGGCTATGAATTTACGCGGAATCTGCCGGGAGGTGTAGGAGAAGCAGCAGGCGGTCGGGGTGTCGGCGCCAACTGGAGAGGAAGAGACCGAATGAGCCTGAGTCACAGTGCAGGAGAAAAGGCAAGACCCGAGGTCTGACCCTGAGTGGGTGAGGAAGGCACGGAGCCAGACAGCAGCCTTGCCCCGGGCGGGGGCTGGGAGGCAAGGTCTCTAGGAGGCAGTGGGCGTTTTTGCCCGAACTTTCCCTGTCTTGGTCCTTGGTTCTGCCTGTACCCTTGTTTCTCTCTGAGTCTTCCTCGCGGGCGCTGTCTCTCTCTGCGACAGACACCCCAGCCACTGTTTTCTGATCTCCCTTCAAGAAGCCATATCCCCCGCAAAACAGAAGCCTCAGACATATCTCCTAAAACATCCAAGGGACAGAGCTCTGGGGCGTGGGGACGGGGACCAGGATGAGTTAGTGGAAGAGCAACACCACTTGGGTTTGCCTCTTGCAAACTCATTTGCTTAGGTCCTTCTGTTGCCATCTGGAAAATGGGACTGGTACGCCCCCACCCCAGACCCCCGGCTCTCAGATGCGGAGACTAGGCTCCTAACACCCTTCTGTAAGATGAAAATACAAGTCTTGCAGAAAAAGCAAAGGTGCTTTATAACCCTTTTAAGAAGTCCTCTATTTTCTCTTGTGGGCCCTCAAGGCCACAAGAAAAGATGGCTGTGGTCGGACTGTGGCCAGAGAGTCGAGGGTACCTACAGCCACAGCACAGACTCACGTGGTGCGGCGAAGCCCTGGCTGCAGAGGGCGGTGGCGCAGAGAAGGACGGCCAGGGCGGCCCCGGAGGCCTGCATGGTGCCGAGGGACGGTGGGGGCGCAGAGAAGGGAGAGCAGAGACGGAAGCGGGCGCTCACTGCTGGCTGCGTCCCTCTGCCGCCGTGCGGAGCCATCGCCCCTGCTCTTTATAGGCCCCCTGGCGGATGGGGAAATGGAATCCGGGGGTGAGCTGGAAATTTTTAAGCACAGTGGTGGTGTCAGGCTGAGTGTTGCGCAACTCAGGTCCCGGGCGACCACAGGGTCTCGGCATAACCAAGAATAGCTTCTCAGAGCCAGAAGTCGGAGACCACAACTCATGTCAGCTTGTTCTGGTTTCTCACGAGGAAATGGTTTCCCCTGAGAGCAGGAGGAGAGAAGTGTTTCTAGGCTCAGGGCTTGTCTTCACTGGTCCCTTTCTGTAGAGACTGATCGAGGCACGAAGCCCCCCTCTCCGTCCTCCCCAGCAGAGCTGACCCTTCTGCGCGTCCTCAGCTGCCCTGGCCACTCGGATGGGGTAGATGTGGGGGTGTCGTGGAGGGTGGCACACCCTCCCTTGGAGGACGAAACTGAATGAAGGAGTCCCCACTAGAGGACTAGGAAGCATGAGGTCATTTGTCTATTCATCTAACAGTCACTGAATGACTAGGTTCGCTGGGTTAAACACTAGTTGAGGACCATAAAGGCACATTAGATGTGGGTGTTAATATATCAGGAGCCTAAAAACGTTAATACCTATTAACCTAAAGGACGCATTTCCTGGAAAGAGTTCTAAAGAAATAAACCCAAGTACAGAAGCGACTTCAAACATAAAGGTATTTCTGACCCCGCATCTAAAATAAGGAAACCTTCTCCGCCACCAGGAATGATAAAGTAAGTTAGGATGCACCCAATTGTTTATTATGACACCTTTAAACTGAATAAAATGTAGCAGAATAAATATAATATCAGTTATAAAAAAGTAAGATGAAAAATCATACAAATTGTACAAGATGAAGAGTTGTACACATATACACACACATAGGACAAATATTGTAACTATATACATACATATATAGCTTACACACATAAATGCTAGACATAGAAAAAACAAAAAGCATTGGAGAAAAGTGTCCTATTGCAGCAATAGTACGTCCATATGTGTGAAAGACCTATGGGTGAATGATTTTCTTGTTTTTCTCTTTTTCTGGAGTTTTCTTAATTTTTTTTTGAAGTGAGACTGTATTGCCTTCCTAGCCGTCTCACACATCGACAGACACATTTTGTTTTAAAACATTTACAACAACACTGGTTGGGAAGGAGATTGTTGTCAGTTAATATTAACTTGCAAGAAATTCTTGAGAAATACACTGAAGTTTCTGCCCAATGGACTTTGCTAAAATAAAGCTTTGATTTCCACTTCTCTGGACTATATTTAAGGAACCTGTAGATATTTACATAAATAATGCCAAATTTAAAGCCGTTTTCTTCCATGGACAAAGCCAGAGAGGAAGCATTGAGGGTGGGAAGTGGGGGTGGGTGGGGCAGGAAAAAGTGGTGGCAGGAAAATGGAGACAAATGTATTTGAACAATAAAAAAAAATTTTTTTTAAGAAAAGGGTTTTTAGTGATAGTATCAGGTAAATGACACTGTCAAATGGTTCAGGAAAAAACCTTTGTGCTATATTTGCAACTAGTATTTTATAAGTTTGAGAATTTCTCAAAATAAAGTTATGTAATAAATCAACTTAAAACGAAAATACACTAGTTTATTACACACATTTTTTTCTAAATTATTTTTACATGTTAACAATGGTTTCTAAACCTTTCAGTTTTTAAGATCTTAAATGTATAAACTGTGACAAGAATTTCAGAATAATGGGAATACAGCGGTCCGTGATTGTCTTAAACCTGGTAGATCCAAAGGAGGGATGTGCAAAAAAAAAGTTTTAATAAATAAATAAAGCAATATTCTTTTCAATTCATAATTTCAGTGGTGGAAAAAGGCCCACTTTCTCAGTCAGGTCTGTATGGTGTTTTTTTCCTCCTCCATTCTTTATTATTTTACTGTTACATGATTAATAAGCATAAATCACATTTCATAATGAGAAATAGATTTAGCTCTTGGCACTGGGCTTTGCCGTCTAGACGCCCGGGTCTCGCAGGAACAGGGAGAATATGCAATCGGGTCCCCACAGCGCTGAGCAGAAAGCGCTAAGTTGCCCAGGAGAAAGGTGACCGAAGGCTCAGAACGCCAGGAGCAGAGAGCAGTGACGCCCCCTGGGAGGGCTGAAGAAGGCTCCGCAGCAGGGCTGGCACTTGGGCTGGGTCCCGAGACCCACGCAGGGCTCGGGCACACGTCGGTGGGGTGGCGGCAGAGGTCCCGCTGTCGCAGAGTCGCAGGCGCAAAACTGCCGGCTCAGAAGGAGGAGAGACCCGTCCACGAGTGCGGGTGGCGGAGCAAATGCGGATGATGAAGCTACACTGGGGCCGGACCGGAGGACTTCGATCCCGCCCCCCACCCCCCCACGCCCCGCAAGGGGCTAGAGCCATGGAGGAAACAAGACATAGTGAAGTGCGGCCACTCCTTAGGAACTCCGTCCTTCCTGTGTCTTCAGAGCTCCCGTCTCTGCAAACGCGTGGGCTGCGTTCCTGTCCCATCCCTGTGACGGCTGGTGCTGGCTTTGAGGGAGGCGAGGCAAAGGCAAGGTCAGGGGCCATAGCCCGGCTCACCCAGGCTCCAGCATCCGGTGCTTTCCCTCATTACTGCCCGTTCCAAGAGTGGAGTCTATCACCTGTTTCATGGGAAACTCGGGACCACAGCGCCGCCGCCGCCCCCGCGCCGCGCCTCCTCCGCCCGCCCCGCGCTCCGCGGACACCCTGGGCTGCGTCCGTCCGTCCTGGCCTCGCGCTCCGCTTCAGTTCCTGAGGCCGGCGTCTCGGGTCCGGCAGGGCACGAAGGAGGAAATGGAAAACTGCCGAGTCAGCCGCTTTCTGGTCGTAGACCCTGTTATCTACCTCCGTGATGGCAGCACTTGCCACATAGGGTTCTAATGCATTATTTACCTAATTTTCTCTTCAAAAAATGAAGACCAGGTCCTGTTGACTTACACCAAATTCATGCCATGTCTTGAGGGTGGGTTTAATAAAGGTGATTTATTGAATATAAAATTTCATCTTAGTATTTATATACGTAAGGCTTTCCATATTAATCCTAGAACCAGGAAATCCCCCTTTGTCTTGATGTGTTTTTACTGGAATAGGAAAATAACATGCTTGCATGTAAAGTCAGTGCTTACTCAGGATATATTCACTGTGAGGGAGCCTTAGGGTGCGTGCGTTGCTTATGACGGGTCTTAGAAATGTCCTAGGTGGTAAACTGATATTCCCACCTCAATTTTTAATTACGGATTTAATTAACAGTATGCGTTGGGACGAAGTCCCACGGTAGAGCTGAAATACTAAGAGGAAGGAAAGGGTCAGAAAGGCCATGGAGTCAAGGTGCTGACATTTGGGGACCCCCGAGATCTCTCGGGCAGTGGTGGCAGTAAGTAGCCGGCAGCGAGCACGGGGCCCCGTCAGCATGGGGGCGCTTCCTTTGCAGCCCAACTTCCAGCCCCTTCCAGCCTCCTCGAGGCCCCGCCTCAGGCCAGGAGAGTGCGCCAGCCATGAGTTCAGGGAATTCTGCAACGTCACCGCCTTGTCCTGCTCTGGTCCCCACCTCGTTGCTCCCAAGCCCTGGCCCTGCTGTGCTGGCTTCCTTTCCGTTTCTGGCCCCGCAATTCCACCTGCCCAGGGGTCGGTCTCAGCTCTCCTGTTTCACCAGCTGTGGCTCCGCGGATGGGTTCACTGATAACAATGCGCTTGTTCGGTCTGGCCTTGGCCTTCTTCTTTCAGGCGTGGCCCAGAGTCAGGCTGCAGCAGGCTTGGCCCCCCCTTCCTGTAGGTAGAAGCAATGTCCTGGGGGCCCTGTCCAGCCTCCTAGAGAGACTGTGTTCCCATGTAGCCCTTCCCTCTGCTGTCCTGTCTTGAGTTCTTTGTCATGCTCCTCTGGCCAAGGGTCTGCATGTGTGCAGTAGATCAAGGCACACGTGCTGACGTTGCACCACATCCTTCCCGTCTCTCTGCTGCTCCTTCTGCATTCTCTGCTCAGTAGAAGGCATCCCCTCTTGCCCAGCTTCCAAGCCAGACCTGTGTCCCCCTTGGCTCGTCCCTCTCGTTCACCCCCGTCAACCTATAGTAGCCCGCCTTACCCACGGTTTCCCTTTCCTTGGTTTCAGTTACCTGTGGTCAGTTATGGTCCAAAATATTTACTAAAAATTCAGATTTAAACAATTCATAAGTTTTAAATTGTGTGTTGTCCTGCCCCATCCCAGTGGGGATGTGAATCATCTGTTGGTCTAGTGTAGCCCCAACGGTATATACGACCTGCCAGTTAATCACTTAGTAGCTGTCTCAGTTATCGGGTTGATTGTGGATATCACAGGGCTTGAGTTCAAGTAACACTTATTTTACTTAACCATGGCTTCAGAGCGCAAGAGTAGCAATGCTGGCAATTGGGATGTGCCACAGAGGAGCCACGGATGCTTCCTGTTAGGGCAAAGGTGTGCATGCAGCATAAGAAAGGCACACAGGGGTTGGCAGAAGGAGGTTTACATTTGTGAGTGAGCAAAACAGTGTATTCTTCTATTAGTATATATTCTGGGGTTATATATCCATTATCCATACAAACAACTGTGTAAACCTACTTTTGTTGGATATGCTGGGTAGTACTAAGGTGTTACGCAACCACTGGGGGTCTTGGAACGTGTTCTCTGAGAAAAGGGGAACTGCTGCATCCAATCACCGACTCTGTTGCATTTTGAAATGAAGTGGATCTGCTTCTCCCCATTCCCACTGCCGCTGTCTGAGGTCAAACCCTCACCATTTCTTACCAGGACAACCAGCTGTAAGAGGGTCCTCTCAACCGGCCCTTCCTCCGGCTTGCCTCTCTCACACAGCATCCAAAGTGATTTTGTTAAAGTGCAAATCAGTCTCTGCCCCTTTCTGTTCAAATACTCGCT